GAGAAGAACGGATTTGATATTAGATTCCATTGGGATCTGTTTGAAAATTGATTTGGCCTGTATATGTGATTGTCACAGCAGTCATAACTTCTGCTATCAGTTTCAGTATTAGTTGAGCAGAGCATTGACTGAATCCCTTGGTGACAGATGGCATTACTATGCGGTTTTTTTTTCAGCTCCTGGAACGAGTGGTTCGTTAGGGAACAATCATGGTGGTGGAGCGGAATCAAGCGAATGTCCTATCGCAGATACCAGTTGTGTAGTGTGCCCAGCCGGGTCCACAGGTCCACCTGGCCCAGAAGGTCCTCCAGGCCCTGCAGGACCGGATGGAAAACGAGGCCCACCAGGAACTCAGGGCGAACTCGGTCCACCAGGTCCACCCGGTGAGCCTGGCGAGCCTGGCCCACCGGGACCAACGGGAAAACCTGGTGAACCAGGAGAGCTGTGCAATGGTACTTTGTCAGGGACTATCAAAAAAGGACCAAAAGGTCCAACTGGACCACCTGGCCCACAGGGAAAGCCTGGTCCGAAAGGCCACTCTGGAGCCGCAGGCAAACCGGGTCCAGAGGGCCCAGCTGGAGCAGCTGGAAAACCGGGACCGGCTGGACGACCCGGAAATCCAGGCAAGGATGGCGAAGAAGGATTACCAGGAAAAGATGGTGAATATTGTCCTTGTCCAAGTCGTGCAGAAGTGATATTTCTCGAGTGAAATGCCGAATGGATTCATTGAAAACACTTTGATTGACGTGATGAAATGACAAAAAATCATGAACTCATATTGAATTCGCTATGAAAATACCGTTGTTGAATGTGTTCAGAAGTAATGAATGCTTAAAAGTTGTTTTCCGATTTTTTTTTGTTGATACTTATTTGTATACGATAATAAAGTTGCGTCCCCAAATACTTTCAATATCGCACTTTACAGTTGAAAAATGAGTAGGGATTTCATTTTATCGCTTACTATTAGCTTGAAATGACTGGAACGATAGCGAGAATTTATTGCAGTGTAATCATTCAGAAGATCACTTTCGTGGGATTTAGATTTCAGCATATTTATCTCCAAAGCGGACATAGCTGCAAGCAAGAGTATACACATCTAGATGNATCACAAAGTTCTGTTGCCCCTGAATATGCAATTGAGTTTCTAAAAAATCACGATTGAGTCCATTGAAAATAATAAACTTTTGTTCAATGATGTACAATCCAAACAGTGTGATCTATCATTGATCTCGCTAGGAATTGTCCTCCATCGAATCGCGTTTGTAAGATAACACAGCATCTGCGCAGTTCATGCAGTTAACTCCGATCAGTTAATTGCGAAACCAATCAGTTGCTTTATTCACCCTGCTTCTGATCAAATCTTTATTCACCAAAGTGAGAATGCAACAAACCATTACATTTTAAGTTGGAAACCGTTTCAAGTCCGAAAATTCAGAAACAGTCCATCAAAATTGAAACATTTTAGAGTGCAGTGAAATGCTTACAATTAGGATGCTCTCTGAACATTCTGGTAGGTGTGTGATCTTTGTTGAACACTGTAAACCATCAGTGTGCTCAATATAATGGGCATTTATTAATGGCGAAATATCAGCAATTTAAAGTGATTGATACGACGCATATAATCGGTCTTTAATGAACCATAAAACGTAATTACGATCGAGAATTTGCTGCAAACAAGATCGTAACTTTCAAATGCCGGCAACATTCTTTGTAATACTCAAAGGAACGTTATTAATTTCAGCAAACGTTAATACGAATATTTTGCATTCATTTGAGCATGCTTTAAATACCGATGAGAGCGCGCAAAAAACTTCACTCACTCAACAGATCATCATGTATGAGGTAAAGATGATTGCGTGTTTCAGTGTGTTGTGCAGTAGTTGTGCCATACTCGCTTGTTTGATTGTAATACCATCGTTGCTCAATGTGATCGACAGAACGCATACGGAAGTTGTGCTGAACGTGCACACTTTTAAAGAGGATACCGATGCAGCCTGGAACGAAATCATGCAACTTCCAATTTTGGCTGTTCAACCATTAAAAGTTCGCGACAATCCTTTCGAGAGCTTATTCTTGAGGCGAAAACAACGTGACAACTCAAAACTGCCTTCGTTCTGTCATTGCGAGCCGGTGAAAGTGAAATGTCCATCCGGACCGATTGGACCACCAGGAGATCCAGGTGCTGATGGAGGTACGTTGATTGTTACACTTTTCAACGACTCTCAAGCGATTTTACGCCCTTACCTGTTTTCTCAGTTGATTTTTTAAGCAGAATCCACATTTCAATGGAGGAATTTTTATTGATGCGCAAATTTGATGTGCAAATCCTTGTACTGGCCATGCATTGGGCATGTGCATTGACTGATTTTATCAAATTTCAAAGTGCTTTCCATCTTGGAAGCTATCGTCATCTTCCCGTTCACAGTTTCACCAAACGAAAACAGCCTCGTGAATTTCTATATTTCATTGAAATGTTTTTGGTTTTCATAAACATTAGTATTGTTGAAAAAATTTGGAAATCGCATTGTTGAAGTCAGTTTTGGTTGAAACTTACGGTATCGTTGAGATAATAGGAATTTGTTCATGGGTTGCGGTGAAAACACTTCTGATTGGCAATTCAATGAATGTTGATCACTTTTATGTATATATGTCTTCATTTATGACTCGCGTGATCAAATTCAATGTGTTGAGACGAAATTTTTTAAATTGTTTCGTGAAATTGAGTGTCATGAATTAATTCTTTGTTTAACGTGATCCTATGTGACATTTCTTTCAGCCCCAGGACCAGATGGACGGCCAGGAAAAGATTTCAGATGTGCAAGAAAACCAAAGAAATGCCCTGAACCTGATACCAGTTGCGTGAAGTGCCCAGCAGGACCGTCTGGTCCACCTGGCCCAGTCGGACCACCAGGTCCTCCAGGGCCGGACGGAAGGGAAGGTCGAGACGGAGGCAAATGCGGGGAAACTCCTCTTCCTGGTCCACCTGGTGAATCTGGTGAGCCTGGTCCACCAGGACCGCCAGGAGACGCTGGTGAACCCGGACCAGCTGGTAGAGATGCGGCCACCGGGTCCGGTAAAAGAGGACAAAAAGGCCCAGTTGGACCATCTGGGCAACCGGGCATGCCTGGTGAAACAGGTCAGCCTGGAGTGGCGGGCAGGCCGGGTTCAACCGGCCCAACTGGACCAGCCGGACAACCTGGACCTTCTGGGCAACCAGGGAACCCCGGTATGGATGGTGATGAGGGGTTACCAGGAAAAGATAGTGCATATTGTCCATGTCCACCACACACAGATACTCTAGTCGAAGAGGAGAACTCGGGTTCGTTCGTTACGGGCGCGATCGATTCACCAGTAGAGCCCACACCTAAGTCTCTAGTTCAGACCACAGCTCAGCCTTCAGTTCAAGCTCCATGCGAGTCTTCAGTTCAGACTACAACTGAGCCATCCGAACAAACCACGCCTAAGTTATCAAGTCAAACTACAAGTGAGCCTTCAGTCGAAACTCCTTGTGAGTCCTCAGAGCAAACTGAACCTGAAGTATCAGTTCAAACTACAACTGAGCCATCCGAACAAACCACGNGGGTTCGTTCGTTACGGGCGCGATCGATTCACCAGTAGAGCCCACACCTAAGTCTCCAGTTCAGACCACAGCTCAGCCTTCAGTTCAAGCTCCGTGCGAGTCTTCAGTTCAAACTACAACTGAGCCATCCGAACTAACCACGCCTGAGTTGTCAAGTGAAACTACAAGTGAGCCTTCAGTCGAAACTCCATGTGAGTCTTCAGAGCAAACCGAACCTGACGTATCAGTTCAAAGTACAAGTGAGTCATCAGTTTCAACTACAGCCGAGTCATCAGAGCAAACCACACCTGAGTCATTACTTCAACCTATAATTGAATTATTAGAGCAAACCATAACTGAGTCCTCAGTTCAAACTACAAGTATGTCTTCAGCTCAAACTCCATGCGAGTCATCAGAACGAACCGCATCTGATCCATCAGCTCAAACTACAGATGAGTCTTCAATTTCACCAAGGCAACCCACACCTGAGTCATCATTCCAAACTGCAACCGATTCATCAGTCCAAAGCAGCACAGATTCGACATCAAGTACAACCAACTCACCCATCACAGAGTTACCGTATTGACATCACGTATCAGTGTGAGAAATTGCACTGAATGGGATCGGAGAACATTTTATTAAAAATGTTCAGAGAAAGAAATTTTTTGAATTACGCTTATACTTTTTTGAATTTCAATGCTGTTGTACGTATGCACTGCGTTGACAGAGCTTTCATTTCCAACGATCAACGTTCATTTGTTGTCATATTAACTGCGGCTGCTCTCAGCAAAGTTACTGTTTTTTAATGTGATCATTTAGAAGTTCCTTATGACTCTGGATTAATTATTTTCTTATTTTATGCATGACTGTATTGTTTTCGTGAATTTTCACATTGTACATCGCTCCAATGAACTGAACGCCTTATAAGTCAATGTCATTCACTCAACTGAGGTTAATTGTTCTAAGTTATTCAACTTGACCATTCACAGAATAAATGATGATTGACACTGAACTTGAATCTGTCATATGCAATCGCATCATATCCATCCACAAACGATCAATCAATAGTACGCGTTAATGATGCAATCTCCTATCCATTTAATCGTGAATCATAACGGAGTTCAGTGAATAGAACTATTTTGCCCAATTAGCGATGCCAACAAGGACACGAAAACATTTCGCGTGTTTTTGAACATGATGATAAAGTGAGCGATTAACGAAATAAGGTGTATGCGAAACAGATGACGTTTTGAATTGTGGAAGTGATGATGTTTTTTGCGACATTTTGAAGGAGTGTACAAGGAATGTGTGTTGTTTGACTATTTATATTGTTGTTTCTCTCTGTTCAGCCTTATTATCATTATTACTACTATTATTATTACAGCTATTTGAAATATTAATATAAGACAGGTGAATGAAAGAATATGAGTGTTTGTATGTGTGTGTGTAGATGAGTGCATCGAACCACCACCACCTATACGAGTGTTGTGTGCAGCAGCAGCAGCAGCAGTAACAGCAACAGCAGCGAATATTAGTATCAATCATCAATCATTAACAGACGACTGACTGTCTTGATACGGAGGAAGAGAGCGAACCACGATGCAAAGACGTTCCATCAACAACTTGATTGTTCTGGTAGCAGTTTTTGTTCTAATTGTCCAGCTCGAACAAAGTCAGTGCTGCCTTCTGTGTTCCCTTCGATTGCCACCACGTCCACGACCGATTGATCACTTTCAATTGCCATCACCCGATCAACTTGCCAGCATCGATTCGGTTGATATATTGTGTGAAAAAGCAAAACGTTTGCGAGGAATTTCACGCGAATGTCGCCAACAAATTGCGAAGATATTCTGCTCACTATCCGAGTTAATTGACGCCAAATCGGCTGATTGTAACAAATCGGAAGTGTTCAATGAGCAAGCATGTGTGGAATGCGTGCAACACAATGCGTATATTGTTCACAACAACTTCTGGGTAGTGACATGTAAGTGGAATGTATATTTATGTTTGTTATTATTTGCTTT